CTGCGCGCACCCGATCGCTTCGCTGGCGCGGTTGATGCCGGGCAGACCGACCGGTCCCTACTTCTGTAAGGGGTCTGAGAATGGGCGTTGTTAAAACATTTCCAGAGTAGATCAGATGTTGTGGACTTTTGGAAGTGCTCTGGTTACACTGTGAGCATGAATAGAAGTCTCTGTCCATTCCCGAAGCGCGCCGCTGGGTCTCGCGTTTGCCGCTCGGAATTCCTCCGCACGGTGAGACGCCAGAAACGAGTCCGAGCCCCGCTGGTGTTCTGCTGCTGGGCCGTGTCTCCTTGCCAGGCATCCCCCTTTGCCAGGGGGTCAGGAGCGCAGCCCTGGCCTTGCTGAAGTCAGTGCTCGGATCTCACTGATCCCAGCTCTCCGGCCGAAATGCCCCGTTAGCCCTCGGCGCTCACTCCTCTGCTCGCTTAAGAAACAGTGTTATTTGAATGGTATAGCCTGAACGGTAACCAAAGAGTATCAGGCTGTTCGACAGACAAGTCAGTGGGAAAAGTGGGTCCAGAAAGCGAGTCCGTTCAGTTCTAAGGGAAAGCAACCTGAAAATCACATCAGTGATCTGGATGGGATCGTTGGCTCTGCTCATTTCCTTGGATGTTTAATTGACAGTTTTGCAGTTCAAGATTTTCTTTTCTGTTATGTACATACTGTAAAGCATATAGTTCTTATAACACTGCCCCTGAGTGCTAGGGGGAAAAAACCAAAGAACACAACTATATTGTAGCTTTTCTGTCGGACCTACAGGCTTCGGCTTTTACATCAGCAAAGGCAAGTTCCCACGCTGACAGCAGTCATGATTCCTGTTAATAATTGCTGTAAACAGACAGGTGTTGATGTTTTAATCCGTTGCTCTTGTTGTCTAGGCTGAGTGAAATTTTCATGCAATAGAAAGTTCCAATGGAAAAGTTGTTATGAATTCAGTATGAATAATTATGTAATTAAATACATTAATTACTTGAAAAAGTAGGAGAAAAAATAAATTAAAAATTTACAGCACGCTTTAGGAAAATAAGTTTCGTATCTTTGTGATAGAGATCTTTTAAGCATGTGCCTCACACATTTCCTTGAATCTAGTTTTATTGAATCTAGTCCCGAACACCATTTTACATGAAAATATCTATTTTTGTTAAAACTAAAGAGTCTATGAACCTCAGAAAAGGCAGGAAATTAAATGCAATCTTGTTCTGTCTGCGGCCAGGATCCACAGTCATCTTTATCAGATGTTATTACCTCCAGCAAATTATTTTGCTTCGTAATTTTCCATAGCGATCAATGGGAAAAATAATGGAAGAAATCTATGAAGGAGCTGGATACCTAAGTACCCTGTTAAGTTTAGACCTACATGTTTACTCCTCAGTGGCTTAATCCAGAAGATATTACTAAGAAAAAACATCACAAGGGTGCCCTTCCTGTTCCTTACTCCAGTGGCTGGATACCTCATTTTTTGTATGGTTCCAATAATAAAAGTATTTGACTTACACTGGTACATTTTTGTTTCAGGAAAGAGAAACCATTTAACAATCCAACATATTGATTTAAAATATCTATTACTACTTTGTAACCTTGTAATGTATGTATAATAAACATATAATCAAAATAATGTCAGTAAAATGAATTTATATTTAAAAATTAACATATATTTATCACTTCAGAAACTGTAAACAATGCATGTGTTAATACGGATTTCCTACACTTTTTAGCTACCGTCCCCCTTTTCATTTTTAGGATATGTTGAATAAGTGAGGCACAAAAATCAGAGGCTTATTGTACAAATATATACGTAGGTGTATGCCTTTATGCATTGTGTCATTGTACAGGACTAAAATGTGTATAATAGAACATGCAACTTCTTCAGAGAAGTGTTTCAGTAAACGCCTGTATAAAATCTTCTGTTGTTTTTTTTCTTCTTCCTGTCATGAAGATGAAGCTGGAGTTGAGGTTCAAGCCTCTAAACTGCGCCCCAGTGTCAGTACAGATAAAGTGTTTAAGGTGTGATGATATTCATGCATATGAGTAGCCCTGAAAATTTTAGAAATCTTTTGACAACTCAGCCCTTAGCTGATTGACCAGTTTTCTTTGCTGCAAAAATATTCTCTGGATTTGGTCATGTCCTGTTTATAAAACAGGAGGCTGAAAATAAGCTTATTTTGAAGACTGACTCTTTATTTGTGAAAAACGGTCAGGCATAACAGCCACATCAACCGTAATCCATTATTTTTTTTAATGACAAGTTCCTGGAGTAGATTTTTACATTTTAAAGGCAGATGTGAACATTAGATGTCATTCAGAAGCTAAATAAAGAAATTCATGATTCGTAACCCACCTTTGATTCACCTTCTATAAAGTTATTAGTATGGAAAAGTCGAGTATCTGTAAGAATTTACTCCCCTTCTGTCTATACTCTTGGGAACAATGTAATCCTGAGGTCACAGCTGTCACTGCACTCAGGTTTCCACAGTGGAGAGGTGTCACTAATAAACTGAAGCTTATTGCTCATTTCTGACATTTAGAAAGAAGTAAACATCTGCCCCTATTCATTGGAGAACCATTGCCATTCCATTGCAGAGTTTGTCCTGATTTTTTTTTTTCTCTCCTAGTTTTCTATTCCAGTTCTTAGAAAGCCATCTCTGGGCAAAGGGAGAAAGTGGGTGGGTAGGAAGGCAGCGGGGCACGGATGGGGACCCCTCCCCTCCATCCTGGGGGCAGCCAGAGCCACAGCCTTGGCTGTCCCAGTCTCTCTGTAAGCCGCGCAGAGCGGGCTTGCGCGTCAGCGGCATCCTGGCCTTGCCTTGGCCCCGGCCCTCCCCGCTCAAGGGAAGCACACCTCAATTTGTCTGCGTTGCTGAAAAAAAAAAGAAAGAAAAAAATGAGAGGAGATTGCCATTTTTCTGCGGGTATCATGTCTAAAACCTGTGTTAATCGTGTGATTTTGGAATACTGAACATTTGTTATATGGATGCCTATGTAAGCAGAGATGTATAGTTCCTAGGAAAATGGTGCAACTGTGCTTCTATATCTGTGCAAAAGCCTTGTGCAGATATAGTAAAGAAACACAGGCTTTTTGTAGACAAAAACTGCTAGCTCACTATTTCTGTTAATTTTGTATGACAGACTGTCATCATGTAAATTGTGAGGCAGGATGAGGAAGCCCTAAGGTAGATTTAGTAGTCTTCATCAGAATTACTACTAGAATTACCAACAAATCCTGACTGCTTTACAAAACATGTTTCCTATCTTCTGGTTAAATAGCCTGGCAAAACCAACTTCAGTTATGAAGTTCTGGGGATGACTAGAAGCTTCTTTTCTTACGCAGGTTTGTATGCTGCCCATCACTTTCCTACTGTTATGACTTGGGCTGTGTCATAATTTAAGGAAAAGACATTAAAATGTAGAGATCAAAATGACAAATTCAACACAGAAAAATCGTTCCATAGTTGCCATAGATCTCAAGGTCTTGCAGAAGCCAGTTTTCAGTGCTGCTGCCGGCTCGCTGGGTTTTGATGTATGCTTTTTCCAGCTCTCGTCTTTCTTCTGATAGAGCAGAGACTGGTTTTACGTTCAGGTAATTAGTGAAACTTTTTTACTGCAGTGGGTGGAGGCAGCTTAATCTTGATCTTGTTTGAGCCAGACTTTTCTTCTTTATTGATTTTGATAACTACCTGAGTTGGTGCTTATTGATTTAGGCACAGCTGTACGATGTTTTAATTTGCTCTGGGAGAGGGCTTCCTTCAGAGTCTGGATCATTTGACCGATTCTGTTTTCCATTGTTCTGAGATTTCATGGGAGATGTAATTACTCATTTTATTTGAAGTTTACCGAAAATATAGGTGAGGTTGTCTTCCCTTCCCGCGTCTCCCAAGACTCGCTGGGCACGTGCAGAGCACCAGGAAAGAGAGTTCTGCTGGAGGAGTTCCTAATCTAACTGCTCTGCATCTCAGAAGGCGGCAAACAGGAATCAGAAAGAAGAACTATTAATTATGTACAACCAATCTTCCTAAATACCTGTTTATCCTTAAAAACCGCCACTGATGGAAACCCTTCCATCCTCGTGGAAACAGTTTTAGTGCTCAGCTATCATTTACAATCAGAAAGCTGTTTGCTATTGTTAACTGAGATTTCTAGTGCAGCAATTGAAGCATGCTCCTTTCTGACCTGTGGATGTGGAAAACAGTTTATTCTCTTTCCTTTTGCAGACACTTTTTAATATTTGAAGACGCACAGACCTTGCTGGAGGCTGTTCAGATTCACAGCTGGAGGGACTAGAGGGAAAAGGATCGATCCAAAATGCAAAGCTTGCCTATGCTTGTCCTCCTCAAAGGAAAAAAGCAATGTGCCTTGATGT